GGAGTGTCTAGTGGTTCTGTTCCAGGACATGAACTAGGACACCCATCTGCCTCTACCGCTGTGGCCCGAAAACCCACATTTCTCAGTGCAGGGCTGCCCTAGCCGGCTCACCTGGAGGAGGGGAGTTGCTCCAGCATCTCTGAGGTCACCTGAGAGGAGCTCCTCCTCCCCGGGGTTGGGGCTCAGGCTGAGGGTTCCTGGGCCCTGGTCTTGACTTACTGTGTGACCCTGCTTAGGTTCTTGAGTTTCTCTGGGGCTCACTTTCCCCTTCTGGAAGTAGGAATGGTTGGTTGAGGTGATTCCTATATGCCTAAGGAGCAAGAGGTTGGGGGTTTCCAGGCAGAGGGCACAGAATAGTAAGTGAAGTCCTGGAGTAAAGTGTCAGACAGTGGGGTTGGGGGGAATGAGACTGGAGAGGAGGAATAAGCTTCAGGAACCAGAGGGTGGAGGCCTTTGAACCCCATTGGATAATGGGGAGCCATGGAAGGGGCAAACAAGCAGGGGAGAGGCACCTGCCTCGAATCAGGATGGGGGTGTTGGTCTCAGAGACTCCTGAAAGTCTGGGTGGTTCTGAACTCTGGGGAACAGTTGAGGGGTGGGCAGCTCGAGGGGGCCTGAGAGTCAGCACTTTCCTGTGTGGGTGAGGGGTGTTTATCGGCCAGCACAGCAGGAAGTGGCTAGGGTGGCCACAGAGGTAGAAAGAACTGTCAGGCCCAGCCATGGAGGGTGCCAAGGAGTCTCCGAGTTGAATCTTTGAGTCCTATTGCCTCAGCCAAACATTTCTCTCCCTACCCATGTCACAGGCCCCTGTCCCAAGCTCCTGACCCGGGTGAGCCAGGCCTTTGTAGATGTCCATCCATCCATTCCACCAGTGGCCGGACACGTCTAGTCACTGGGGATAGAGCTGTGAATGAGACAATATCCCGGTCCTCCAGTTGAGACGGACAGTGAACAGTGTTCAGTAGTGATACATGGGATGCTGGAAAATGATACAGGGTCGGGAGACTGGTGGGGGTACTTTTTAGGTAGAATGGTCATGGAAGGAAGGCCTTGTATTTGAGCAGGTGCTGGGAGTGAGTCGTGTAGATGTCTGGAAGAGCTTCCAGGCAGAGGGAGCTCCAGTGCGCAGCCCTGAGGTGGAGCACAGGAGAGGGTGGAGGAACAGCAGGGAGGTGGGAGGTGGCAGGGAGTGAGCTAGTGGGCCGTGCATGCACTGTCTTTGACTTTCTGTCTGAGAGAGGTGGGAAGTCACCTGGGAGTGAGAACTGGTCAGACTTGGAATCTGTGTTGAAGGCATACATTTATTCCTCCCAAGCTTGCAAGGTGGAGCTGTTGTAACACCCATAGTACAGATGTTGAAACTGAGACTCAGAAAAGTTATATGAATTTCCAATCTCACAGCAGCAGGAAACCCTGCCTGCCTACCTGTCTGCCTGTCTGCCTGTCTGCTGCCCTATATTTGGTCCCCAGAGGACCCTGCTGCCCTTCATGGCTTCCTGTTGTCTGAACAGTAAGGGCGAGTGTCTTAGCATGGCCTTCAAGGCCCTTGTCAGCCGGCACTCATCCTCCCTCTCTTGCTCCCTGCCTGTTTCTACACTGTCCCCTCTGGGACATAGAGTGGAAGGAGGGGCCCAGGTAGCTCCTGGTTCAGATTCTGGCTCCTGTGTCATTTTGGGCAAGCTACTTCACCCCTCTGAGGCTGTTTCTTCCTCAACTGTAAAGTGGGCCAAAGCTATCCACTTTCTAGATTGTCTAGGGAATTATATGAAATAGTCCATGTAACATGTTTAGCACAGGGGCTGGTGAGCCCTCCATATTCATGACCTTTAAGCAGGGATGGCTGGATCCGATAAGTGGGTTAAAATGTTCCCTGTGAGCCAGAGAGGAGAGGCCTAGGAAGGAACCTCTCCTATCTGTCATCTGATAATATAGTGGAGGGCACAGAGGTCACACAACAATTGCAGGCCTGAGCCTGTGGGGCTGGTCCCTCATCTCCTTCTCCCTTCTGGCCCCTGCCCCGCCCATCTGGTTACCTTCACCCCAGCAACAAAGGCAGCTTCCCCTTTCAGATGCCAGCAGCATTGGGCCGCTTATCTTCTGGTTTCTCCATTTCAGGGGACACTAGTGAGGGGGCAGGTTTGGGTCCCTGTTCTCTTAGGCTGCTAGTTCTGGGGTACAGAGGACCCCTCCAAATCACTCCTCCTGGGTGAGCACATGTCAGGTTCCTGGTTAACTCAGAAAGGATGGAGTCCAGCAGCCTTCTCTTCTCCTCCTCTGTCAGGGCTCAGGGCCAAGAGTGGCCCTCAACTCCTTTGGTGTGTGGTGAGGGTCCCAGCATGTGACTGGTTCTGTCCACTCCTGCTGCCTGGGAGTCTGTTGTCAGCCTTGTGTACTCCCACCCCCCTTGTGGTTAGCCTGTTTCTTCCTGTTTTTGCCTCATTTACAGTGTTAAGAGCCCCCCACCCATCTTCCCAAGGCGGTCAGTGGTCACAGAAGATCTTCCTGCAGTTACCTCTAGCATCTCAGGCCCCCCTTTGGCCAACACCTTACAATCTTTATTTTATTATTTTATTTTATTTTATTGATTTTTAGAGAGAGAGAAAGGGAGGGGTTCGGAGAGACAGAAACATTGATGAGAGAGAAACATCATCGATTGGCTGCTTCCTGCATGCCCCTTATTGGGGATCGAGCCCTAAACCTGGGCATGTGCCCTGACCAGGAATCAAACTGTGACCTCCTGGTTCCTGGGTTGATGTTCAACCACTGAGCCGCCCCAGCTGGGCTTGGTCAGCACTTTCGATGAGGGAGACACTTGCTGCTCTGTCTGGGAAGTCCCCAGCCCAGTAGGACGTGCCTGTGACTGACGGGCAGGGGACCAGTCCAGAGACCCAGCGGGAATGCCCCAGGTCTCCACGGGTGCTGTGGGGCTGGTGGGTCACACATTAAAATGGGAGGGCCTGCATGAGGCCCGAAGAGTGGATGGGGGAGTAGGGAAGGTGGATGTGGGTCAGGGCTGTGGGTTTAGGGTTCTGGTTAGGAGCTCTGCCTTGTGGCAAGTTAGAGGTATAGGCAAGAGGGTGCCCTGGCTACAGGTGAGGGAGGTGCAGGAGGCAGGGAGGAAAGCCCAGGGGTTCAGGCAGGCTGACGAGGCCTGGAGTGGATGGGGGTAATGAGGTTGGAGAGGAGGGTGATGTGTCAAAAACATGATAATGAGGAGGCAGTTCGGGGGAAGGGGAGGGCGGCGGTCCAGTGTGATCCATTTGGAGCTGGGGGATGCGAGGGGGATTCTTATGTCATGTTTGCTAATGGATCTCAGTCTATTTCCCATTTGAAAGCCCATGGGCTGCTCTCCGCGGCTGCCCTCTGGGTCCCTGGTGAGGGGACCTCATCTGATAAGCTGTGTCTTAGATCTGTGGGAGGATAAGCCAGTGGGGGGAGGAAGTGAGCTTTGGGTCTCAGTTTCTCATTCTCTAGTCCAGATGGCCCAGGAAACGAGCAGTTTTGTACAGTAGTTCTCTTAGTAGTCTATCCGTGTTATATTTAAAATCATAAAGCTACCTTATAATTGACAGTTTGAGGAACAAGCTGGAACAAACTCAATTCTAATAGACTTAAATACATATATATATATATATATACTTCCCTTCTAATTATACAAGTGATACACAACTGTAAAAACTTTAGAAAGTATAGACATGAAGGTTGTAGAAAGTGACAGTCTTTCAAGATTGGGGTGGGAGTTAAGGCTAGGCTTGAAATCGAGGTCAGGGAGATCCAGGGCCACTTAGTCTTTAATGTCCCTTGGTCATTAATAAAATGGGCATTTACTGCTCCAAGGAGGTTGTTAAAATATTCCGCCTGTCACCAGGTCCGCTGTGTGTGGGTGTGCACATTGCGTACTGCCTAAGGGCCCCTGGTAGGTGGGGACCAGTGGAGAGCTGGGAGAGGACTGAAGCCCAGCTGTCCTCTTTGCTTAGCTGCAAGCCCTGACTTGGGGCTCCTGAGGGAAGAGGCATTTAAGTGTCATTTAAATTAGCCAAGGTGGGAAGAGGCATTTTTTATTTGCTCACAGTCCCCGTGTAAGTTGGAGGCAGCCTTACTTTATCCAAGAGAGGAGCTGGTGGATTCATTGTGGGATGGGGAATGTGTGGTGCCCAGGGCCACCCCAAAGAAGTCCAGGGGCTAGTGGGGTGTCTAGTCTAGAGCCTTGCAGAGGGACATGGCTGGAGGCTGGGGGTGGTAGTCATTGGTATCAGAACTCCAAGGTGCAGGTTAGAGCCTGGGTACAAGACCATCACCAAGGGCCCCTTTTATCAGGAGCAGCAAGGCCTTGGTACTAAGGACTGGAAGTGTCTCTCTTCATAGTCCAGGAGTGAGCAGATGACCCATGTGGCCTCTAGTATGCATATGGTGACGTGTCACAGTCATCTGGATGACAGCCATGCTTTGTGGAGGGAGAAACTGAGGCTCAGAATGTGGCATGACTTGTCCAGGGCTTTAGGCAAGAAGTGGTGGAGCCAGGAACCTGGACTTGCTTTGTGTCCTGTAGGGAGGGGCTCTGGCCTGTGGCCCCAGCTCCCCACCAGGTGGCTGAAGTGGCTCTTTAGGCACCTAGGCCCTGGACCTCCCTACTCAGTCCTCACTGTCTGAGGGCTGCTCCTTGGCAGCCCCCACCACTCCTGGCACACCAGAGCACAGACCTCACCGCAGATGGGATGGGGCAGAAAATTGGTGGTAGGGTGAGTGACAGGGCAGAGATTCAGGGCTGGAGACTCCAGGGTGCCTCCTTGGTACCAGTATGCAGTGGCCACCAGGCCCTGAGAGACAGAAAATAGGCCCCTGGGCCCAGGGCAAGTGAGCTGTGCACCTGCTGCCTTGTCTGAGCTGGAGGGAGCTGGCTTCTGCAGGGGGGCGGGGGCCACTTCTGCACCCTCTGAGCTGGGAACCCAACCACCGCCCAGTTCCTCATATCTAAGGGAAGTGTCTCCAAGGCCTCTTGCCTCCATTAGTGGAGTCCTGAGAACGCCCTGCAGACCGAGGGTGGCCCTGCCCATAGGTATCCCCTGGTGACTGGGCTGGGGGGTGGGGGTGGGCTTAGAGGGTGAGGGGTATTGGGCATTGGGGGGCTCTGAAGCACTTGTACATAGCCGAGTTATTGGTGGGGAGTGTGGAGACTGAAGGCTGTGTGTTTGGTGGGGCAGATCTGTGTGTGGCTGCTAGGTCCGGTGGGAGGTATGTGTCCCTGGAGGTAGTGTGAGGTGTGCCTTTGTGGTATGGGTGGGGTGGTTTGTAGACCGGGCCTGTCCAAAGCTGGATGGGTGGGGTTCTTGGTTCCTGTGTCGGGAACTCTGAGGGGTTTCCTGGGATCTGGACACGGGGGTCCCTGCCCAACCTGCCTTGTGTGGGGGGCTGTGCAGGGGAAGAGGAGGTAGGGTGGGTAAGCTCAGGCCTGAGGTCTGGACACTGGGGTCCCTGCCCAACCTGCCTGGTGTGTGTGTGTGTGGTGAAGGGGAGGGCTGTGCAGGAGGTGGGGAGGGGTAGGTAAGCTCAGGCCTCGAGTCTCGACCCCTGGGCCTGCCTTTTCCCTCTTCTGCTCTCCCACACCATTGGGCCTCCCTCTACAGCTCTGTGTAGAGGGGGATCTGAAGATGCAATCGAGGAAGGGTCTTGGCTGAGGGGTAGGACCTTCAAAGGCTGCCCTGCCCTAGGCCTGACTAACTCATGCAAATGAGAGTGCAGTGGATGCTGACATCCACATGGTCAGCAGCTCTGTGGCCACCCAAGGGAGGGTCCCCAAACCTCTCTGGGTGTCACTGCTATCTTTTCACATTTCCTGTTCCTGCTCCACTGAAATCTCCCGTCTCTGCATCTGTCAGGTCCAGTCCCATCCCTTAGCCTTGCACACTCAGTTTCCTTTGCGTGGAAGGGCAACCTCCTATGTATCCTGCAAGGCCCAGTTCAGGAGTGCCCTCTGGAAGCCTTGCCGAATCCACCAGATAGAAGTGGTCACATCTCCTGAAGGCCCTGTTGGCCCTAGCAAGTGACCTGGGCAAGTTTCCACCTCACACAGCCTCCATGAAATGGGGTAAAAATACCAGGCCTTGGGATTGTTTGAGGAGATTGAGATGAAGGTGGGAAACTGGCAGGGGCTGGGCATGAAGTGGGCACTTAGAAAATGAAGGAGACAGGAGTGTAACTGTCCTTGAGCTCTGGGCCACTTTCCTGCTGGATTGTCGGAATTGGTGCCCCTCGTCAGTAGTGGCCAGGGATGGTGCGGGGGAGGTGCTGGGCTGGGCCAGAGAAGCAGTGAGATTTTAACTCTGCCCTCGGGGGTTGAAATGGTAGAGGACAGAAGGGTCACAGCTTTTGCTTCAGTAAGAGGGACTCAGCCCAGACCTAAAAAAGGACTGGTCGCCAAGAATTAGAGGTTCCAGATGACCCTTACTTACCTCTGGACTGAGTGCCCTGTGAACCCAGTCAGGTCGTGAGCTCTATCGTGGAGGGCAAGGGGCACAAGAAGGGGTGTAGACTCACAAGGGCACCCCAGGTTAGGTTGTAGGTTGGGTGGAGATGGACCCCCACCAATGGAACAACCAAAGATAGAGCAGAAGCAGTTCTGAGCTGCATGGCCCAGTTTCCAAGTCCTAAGAGCCTGAGGGTGGTCTAGGAGCTTGGCGTGCAGAAGGCGTCGGACCTTCAAGGCTGCCCTGCCCTAGGCCTGACTGACTCCAGAGGAGGCAGTCTGGATTCAGTGCCTGAAAGTGGGGAAAATTTGGGGGGCTCCCAGTGCCAAGCTGGTGCCTGATGCAAAAAAGTGAAGTGGAGGGAGTTGTGGGCCAGCCCAGCTGGCTGGGGCTCAGGGCATGTCACGGGCAACTTGGGCAAGTCACTTCCTCCCTGTGGGTGTTTGTTTCTTCATCTGTAAACGTCAGGGCTGGAGTAGGTCCTATGACAGGCCAAGCAGCTGAACTTGAGGGCACGGGGAACACAGAAGGGCTCTGAGCAGGGGTGGGATGGGGGTTGGCACAGCAGAGAGGTGCTGGAGGGAGACAGGGAGAAGCAGGGGCAGGGTGGAGTGGTGGGGTGTTGAAACCTGAGTTGGGTCTTTGGGTGGGAAAGGAGGGGAACCCCCCAGCTTTTAGCTATGTTGTTGCAACAGGATGACGCTCCCCTCTGCCCTGGTCCCTGTTCCCTGGGGGTGGAAACTCAATGATTTGTCATATGTCATAGCAGCTGGAGGGCTTAAACCTGGGGCGGGGGATGTTTCAGGATTAGGGTGGAGCAAGTGGGGCACTTGCCTTCAGTGCAAAATGGGGGGGGGGTGCGTAAAAAGTTAAGAAATCAAGATAAATAATATATTTTTAAAAAGCAATACTAGTGAAAAAGTCCAAGATAAACCAAATATCCAAATTTTATTTTATTTTTTTAAGTATATTTTTATTGATTTCAGAGAGGAAGGAAGAGGGAGAAAGAGATAGAAACATCAATGATGAGAGAGAACCATTGATTGGCTGCCTCCTGCATGCCCCACACTGGGGACTGAGTCCGCAACCTGGACATGTGCCCTGACCTGCCCTGACTGGGAATCAAATTGTGACCTCCTGGTTCATAAGTCAAGGCTCAAGCACTGAGCCATGCCAGCCAGGCAAAATATCCAAATTTTAAACAAAGAGGTTCAGTATTGGTGATTCTTTCTTTGCCTCAGGCTCTAGCATGGCTCAGCAAGGTATTGCTCTAAACTTTTTTTTAAAGGAGCTGCCTCCTCCAGGAAGCCTTCCTTGACCCCTGGCCTGGTGAGGGACATGTAAGCTGTTTCCACTGGCTAGGTGTTATCTGACCCCCTCCATCCTGAGGTTCCTGTAGGGCAGGTCTGAGGTCTGGCTCATGCGTCCAGTGCCCTGAGTGAAGCTGTCCTAGAAGGTTGTGAGTGTGAAGTCCTGGAGCCGGACCTTGATGTGAAGCCTTTAGTGTAGGAATAGGAACTTGAGAGAGGCCCAAGATGGGGTTGGGCCCTTTGCAGAGACAGAAGTGGGTTCCTGTTTTCCAGCCCTGGTCATTCCCTTAGGGTGGTTGGGATCATTACCAATCAATCCATGTTGAAGCCTTAGAATATGGCCCAACCTATAGAGCAGGGGCTCAGTTAATGTTTTTCATCACTCTGTGAGAGGCAGTGAGCAGCGAGGTTGAGAGTTTACAGCTGCACTATCCAACAGAAATATAATTTGAGCTATAAGTGCAATTTAACTTTTTCTGGTGCACATTAAAAAGAAACATGAAGTTAATAATATACTGTATTCAAATAAACATAGGTTAATTTCCATCCCCAGCCAAGTGGCCAAAATAGTATAGCAATCCTATTACGTAATAAATAGAAATTTATTGAGATATTTATATTCTTTAAAAAAAATCTTTATTGTTGAAAATATTACATAGGTTCCTCTTTCTCCCCGATGATATATTTATATTCTTGCTTTTTGTACTAAGTCTTCAAAACCCAGTGTGTATTTAATGCAGCACGCTTCATTACGCAGCCACATCTTGAGTGTTCAGTAGCCATATGTGGCTGCTACTGGCTACTGTCTTGTCTATACTATATTCAAGCTGCCCTCTTCCTAGCTGTGTGACTTTGGGCAAGTTATTTAATTTCTCTGTGCCTCGTCCGCTTCTTCATCTTAAAGTATGAAGTATATATTTCATAAGGTTGCTGTGAGGATTAAGTAAGTTAATAAAAAGTGATTAGGGCTCTGGCTGGTGTTGCTAACTGGTTAAAGCATTGGCCTGGAGACCGAAGGATTCCGGTCAAGGGCACTTACCTGGGTTGCAGGTTCCATCCCCAGCCAAGTGTGTGCAGGAGGCAACCAATTGATGTGTCTCTCTCACATCAGTGTTTCTCATCTCTCTCTCTCTCCTTCACTCCCTCCCTTCCACTCTCTAAAAAAGTCAATGGAAAAAATACCCTCAGGTGAGTATTAAAAGATAAAAAGTGATTCCCTCCTGTCCTTTCTCTTCCTCTACCCTCTTCTATGTCTTCCCATTTGTCCAGGTCTCCTTTTGCTTCTCAGGAATGCTCAATGTTTTCCCTCCTACTGATCTTGCCCATTTCTCATGAAGTTTATTGGTGTTTTATATTTTGTGATACTATTGTAAATGGGGTCTTTCATTCTGGTTTTTATCTGGTTATTGCTTATAACTATCGATTTCTGTTATATTACTTTAGAATCCAACTCACTTGCTTCCCTCTCTTTCCTTTTCCCTATCCTTCTCCCCCTTCTTCCTCGGCCTCCTTCCCTTCATCCTCTGTTCCCTTCTCTTCTCCCCCTCCTCCTTCTGGCATCCCTCTGTTCCACGTAGCCTAGCCTCATGGACTTTCTCTTCTGTTCCTGTCCTTGCAGCTCCCACCTCAGGCCAAGATGAGCAGCTGTTCAGAGTAACTGGGAGGACCAGTGTCCTGGGCAGCCCAGCAGGTGAGCCGGAAAATGGGGAGGGGAAGGGGGTTGGGTGTGGCAGGCTGAGCCCCAACATTGAGGTCGGGGAGTAGGCTTCATGGAGGCAAGACCTGAGGTCCCATTGTCCATTTTGAAAACTGAGGTTGAGAGGCAGAGAGAGGGTGAGGCCCAGAGACCTGAGAAGAGCCTCCCCGGAGGGCTGTGAAAGGTGGGGGGGACAGGGACCAGCGGGTGGGGGGGGTGTGTGTGAGTGTGTGGGTGTGTGTATCTGTATATCTGCATATTGGATTCCCTTCTGTGCCTGGCGAGTTACCATCTTTCTCATTCCCAGATGATCACGTTATCTTTTAAACTGTATTCATATTTTTGAAAAATGGCACAAAATTAAAAAGATACAGAGGATTTAGTGAAAGGTAACTTTCCCTCTCCTGTCCTCCAGGCTGCCAGTACTCCTCTGCAAAGGCAGTTTCTTGCAAACCCATCCAGAGGTATATTTGTGTATATGGGTGCTGTATAAATATGCGTTTCCTTTTTCTTAAACTTATTGAGGTAACATTGGTTAACTGTATAATTAATTTATAATTACATAAATTTCAGGTGTACATTATGTTTTGATATCTATATACTCCATTGCGTGCTCACCACCCACTACCATATATTTGACCCCGCTTTACCCAATTCACCCTCCCTACACCCGCTTCTCTGGTAACCACCATTCTGTTGTCTGTATCTATGACTTTACTTTGTTAGTTCATGTGTTACGTTTTTTATGTTTCACATGAGTGAAATTGAACAGTTTTTGTCCTTTTTCTTCTGACTTTCTGCACTTAGCATAATACTCTCAAGATTCATCCATGTTGTCACAAATGGCATACTTCCTGTTTTTTATGATTGAGTGCTATTCCATTGTACATATCTACCACATCTTTATCCATTCATCCATGATGGACATATAGGTTGTTTCCATGTCTTGGCGATTGTAAACAGTGCTGCAGTGAGCATAGGGGTACATATGCCTTCACGAATAAGTGTTTCCATATTTTTGGGTAAATACCCAGAAGAGGAATTGCTGGGTCATGTGGTAGTCTTATTTTTAACTTTTTAAGGAACCTCCATACTTTTTTCCATAGTGGCTGCACCAATTTACATTCCTACCAGTAGTGTACAGGGTTTCCCTTTTCTCCAGCACTTGTCATTTCTTGCCTTTTAAATAATAGCCATTCTAACAAGTGTGAGGTGGTTATCTCACTATGGTTTTGATTTACATTTCCCTGAAAACTAGTGATATTGAGCATTTTTTCATATACATTTTCCTATAAAACAGTTTTACATTATAAAACACTTTTCTGCACCTTGCTTTTTCACTTAGCAATAAATTGTTGTTATCATTTTATATTAACTTTAGACTCTGGGCAATTTTAGTTGGGATTGTGCTAGTCATAGTTTAATTAATTCTGGACGAACCGATGTCTTTATAATGTTGAGAACTGGCTTATCTAAGACATTGAATGTGTTTCTGTTTGTGTCTTTCTTTGGTCCCTCAGTAACCTTTAAAAAAATATTTGCATAGTTAAAAATTTAGGTGAGAGAAAAGTTGTGGCGTGGAAAGGCTCCCCATCAGCCAGAGGTGGGTCTCAGGGAGTTGATGGAACTTGATCTTCAGGCTCCTTCCAAGACCCAGGGAGGGGCCCGGGCAGTGTGTGCCTGTGGTCATGTGTTCTTGTACATTTTTACAAAAGTAAGATATTCTTTTTTTTTTAATTAAAAGAAAATTTTAAATGGGATATACCACATTATATTAGGTTCAGGCATACAACAGTGTTTCAGTATTTATATATATATTGTGAAATGATAAGTAAGATATTTTGTATTCTTAAAGAAAACATCTGAATTGGATAAGCTTCAGGTCCCGAGAAGTCTGGCTTTCGATCTGCCCCCTCCTGGCCTTTTAGCCTTCAGTTTTCTTTCTCAGAGGCAACCATGCTTAGTGGAGAGGGTCTAAGCAACCTTGTCTCCTATGTATCTTTTCAGAGATATTTTCTGCATTTACTAGTAGATGCATACTGATCTATTCCCTCGTTTTTCTTTCACATAAAAGGCAGAACACTATATATACTGTTTTATATTGTTCTTTCGTCACTTAACAACATATCGTGGAGGTCTCATATCGATAAGAAGGAGTTTCCTCTTTTTGTACAGTTGCTCAGTATCCTACGGTATGACTACAGCATAATTTAGTTAACCATTCTCTGGCTTATGGATGTTTTGGTTATTTCTAACCTTTTGTTATTTTACACGGTGTATAGTCATAACCGTCTCTGTATGTCTTTGGATATGCGCCAGTAAGACTGCAGGATAAGTGTCTAAGAATGGCTGGATCAAGGGCAGAAGTACTTGGGGTTTCCACACCTGCTGTGGCCTTGCCCTTCCAGAGGCATTCTAGCCTGCCAGGAGAGGAATGCCTCACCTCTCACCACTGAGTATGGGGAAGTGTCGTTCTCTTCACCTGTTTAAGAACCATGTATATTTCCCTTTCTGTGAATTTCTCTGTTCATATCCTTTGCCCACTTTTCTTTTTTAGGTTATTGATCTGTTTCTTTATTTTTTAAAAATATTTTTATTGATTTCAGAGAGGAAGGGAGAGAAAGATAGTAACATCAATGATGAGAGAAAATCATTGATTGGCTGCTTCCTGCACACTCCCTACTGGGGATAGAGGTCGCATGTGCCCTGCCAGGAATTGAACCATGATCTCATGGTTCATAGGTTGACCTCAACCACTGAGCCACGGCTTCTTATTTTTAGGCGCTTTTTAGTTTTTAGGAAAGTTAGTCCTGTGTTTGAGATGTGAATGGCAGATATCCCCTAGTTTGTCATTTCTCTTTTGGCTTTGCTTAGGGTGTTTTTTTATCATGCAGGAATGTTTGATTTTTATATAGTAGAATATCTCACTTTTTTTTTTTTATTCTTCTACGTCTGTATCATTTCCAAAAGGCTTTGGCTCTCTGCAATGATTTTTAAAATCCTTTTATGGTTTTATTTTTTTATAATCAAAACTTTGATCCTTCTGTAATTAGTCCTATTGTAAGTAGTGAGGTAGGAGTCTAACTAGTTTGTTTCTAGATTGCTCCCAACAACTTAATAATCCATCTAGTTTGAATTCCTTTTATTGTATACTAAATTCTTATGTGTAATTGGGTCTATTTTTAAATGTTCTGTTCTGTTTAATTGATCTGTCAAGATGCTGGTAACATGTACAGTCATCCCTCGGTATCCATGAGGAATGGGTCCCGTGGAGACCAAAATCCACGGATGCGCTAGTCTCTTATATAAAGTGGCATAGATTAATTACTGCATGTAGTCAGCTCTCTGCAACAGTGGATTGAAAATATGGAGGGCTGACTGTACTATTTTAATAACCATGACTTTATATGTTTTAATATGTGGTGAGGCTGATTCTTACTCTTTACTCTTCCTTTCCCTCACCCTCTGCTTCCAAAATTTTTCTGGATCTTCCGGCTTGCTTGTTTTTCCACATGGACTTTCAAGTCAGCTTGTCTAGCTAAATAAAAGATCCCATGTGTACTTATAGGGTTGTGCATATTTATAAATGAGAGAGAGTTCTATCTTTATGCTGTCTTCTGTCTGGGAGCATACTGTATTTTTCCATTTGTCCAGGCCTTCTTTTCGCTTCTCAGTAACACTCCACATTTTCCCTCCTACAGATCATGCCCATTTCTCATGAAGTTTATTGGTGTTTTATATTTTGTGATGCTATTGTAAATGGGGTCTTTCATCCTGGTTTTAACCTGGTTTTTGCTTATAAGTTTTGATTTCTGTTATATCACTTTTGAACCCAATCATATTACTAAATTCTTTTATTTTTTTTGTAATAGTTTCTCAGTTGAGCTTCTTGGATTTTCCAACTTAGAATTCATATTATTGGTAACTAATAGGTTGTTTATATCTTCCCAGCTTTTATTTATTTATTTTAAAATTTTTATTTATTGATCTTAGGAAGGGAGAGAGAGAAACATCGATTTGTTGTTCCACTTATTTATGCATTCATTGGTTGCTTCTTGTGTGTGCCCTGACCAGGGATCTGAACCTGCAACCTTGGCGTATCGGGTCAGCACTCTAGCTAACTGAGCTACCTGGCCAGGGCCTTCTTCCCAGTTTTTGTTTATTTTTAGTCTCTAGACCTTGCAGAGCAATGTGATTAACAGAAATAACAGCAGTAGTGAAATGGATATCATTGTCTCATTTCTGACTTTAAAGGAAGTTTTTCTATTGTTTTTCCATTAAGCAAGATGCTGGTGTCTGTTTTAGTTAAGTATCAATCTATTTTTATTTTAGTACGATTTTTATTTGTTTAAGTACCCTGAGTATTGAGTTTTATCATATGCCTCTTTTGTGTCTGTGGAGATGATCAGATGACTTTTCCTGTTTGATCTGTTAATCATCTCTTTGCGTCAAATATTTCTTGCTCTTACCTGGTCAGGAGCTCTTGAGTTCAGGGATGGGACCTAAGTCCCCATTGCCCAGTGCAAGACTATTTTGAATGAACAAATGAATGAATGGCCTTTCCTATATACATTACTCCTTTCCCCTTTGGTAGTGGGAGACCCCTCAGGCTATGTGATGCTGGGTTGACTCGCCTCCTGGGCATTCTACTTCCTCCAGGGGCATGCAAATGGGATGAGGCTCAACCCCTAGTCTAGGCCTGCTGGGGGACCAGCCCTTGGTATCCTTCAATTCCCCCCATACTTGCTAAGCCCCTGGGCCTAGCCCTCGGCTGGGAACTGGTGCCTCAGAAGGAATTGGGCCTTTACCTAGGTCTTGCAGAGGGAGGAAGTGTGCGTGCGTGTGTGCGTGTGTGTGTGCGTGTGTGTGTGTGTGTGCGCGCGCGCGTGTGTGTTGTGTGCGCTGTGCGCACACGCGCAATCATTGGCCAGCCTCGCAGTTGTGGCGGAGGCTGTGGATGGGGTGAAGGGTGGTACCATTTCTGGAGGTCCTGGAAGGCCCCCTAGAGGAGACATGAACTTGGTGTTAGGCAGCCACAGGGGTGGGGTGCCTGGTTTCAGGTAGAGGGAAAAGCCTATGTGTTCAGAGACCTGGCAGTACCTGACCTTGCCTGGCACATGCGGCAGAGGGGAGAAAGCTCAAAGATAGAGCTCAACCCATGGCATGGGAGAGCCACAGAAGGAGGCTGGTTGGGGAGCTACACCTGGGCAGCCATGCTCCTGCCTTTGACCTGTGCCCATCTATCTATTCCAGGTCTGGACAGAGCCCTGCTGGCAGGAACCATGACAGAGGCTGGGGATGCAGCACTGTCAGTGGCTGAGTGGCTGCAGGCACTGCACCTGGAGCAGTACACCGCGCTCTTTGAGCATCATGGACTGGTGCGGGCCACAGATTGCCAAGGCCTCAGCGATGCCCGCCTGGTGGACATGGGTGTACAACTTCCTGGCCACCGCCGCCGCATCCTGGCTGGCCTGCTCCGTGCCCATGCACCTCCAGTCCCAGCACCCCGCCCTACCCCACGGCCTGTGCCCAGGAAGCGTAATGTCTTCCGCCCACTGCCCTCAGCCACCACTCCACCTGAGCCACTTACCACGACCAGAGAGGATGAGGGACTACCCACTGCCCCACCTATCCCACCCCGGAGGAGCTGCCTTCCTCCTGCCTGCTTCTCTACCCCTTCCACAGCTGTCCCAGACCCTGCGCTGCCCCCTGTGCTGCCCCCGCTGCCTGCCAAGCGGCATTTGGCAGAGTTAAGTGTTCCACCTGTGCCCCCTCGCACTGGGCCCCCCCGTCCACCCGTGAGGTGAGTGGATGCTGTCCACGGAAGGAGGTACATGGGCAGAGGATCGCAGAGGATCCTAGAGGGTGGAGGGGGAGTTTGTGGCTTTTAAAAAATATATATATTTTATCGATTTTTTACAGAGAGGAAGAGAGAGGGATAGAGAGTTAGAAACATCAATGAGAGAGAAACATCAATCATCTACCTCCTGCACACCCCCTACTGGGGATGTGCCTGCAACCAAGGTACATGCCCTTGACCGGAATCGAACCTGGGACCTTTCAGTCCTCAGGCCGACGCTCTATCCACTGAGCCAAACGGTTAGGGCAGTTTGTGGCTTTTGGCACTGCAGTAAGAAAGGCACTTCAGTGGAGGAACAGCATGTGCAAAACCCAGGTGGGAAGCACCTTCTAGGTTGCTCTGGGCAGACACTGTACTTAACTGTTGGGTGAGTGAGGGTGAGGCTTGTGGATGGTGCTGGTGGGATGTGCTGTGAAGGCCAGGTGGACAGCCAGGAAGGTTTGAAGCAGAATGATCTGATGAAGCTGAATGCTAAAAGGATCTGGCTGCTGATGAGGTTGATGGGGGAGGAGGCACAGGGTCAGGTGAGGCCCTCCTCCGCTCCCCCACACACTGACAGTGTGAGAGAAGTAGGCAGATTGGAGTGAGATGTTGTTTCTGGAATGGACAGGACTTAAGGACAGCCAGGGTGTGAGTAGAGAGGACATGGGGAGCCACAGCAGCATCCAGGTTTCCATCTTCGGTGGACAACGGTGCCATCACTATCTGGGGACCCAGCGACAGCAGTTAGTGTGGAAGTGTTCAGGGTGGGGCCTGGTAAGTATGAGATACTGTGTGTGGGGGTGTATCAGGCTATGTTCTGGAGTCAGGGAGTAGCGTGTGTAGGAAACGGGAGCCTCAGTGACGAGCGTGTGGGGAGCGGGGACAGCCCAGGGCCTGGTGCTTGTGCTCTGTCTCTCCCTTTTACACTGAGGGACGCTCCTCAGAACTGTTTTCTCCCCTGGCTCCTGGTACTCCTTGTTTTCTTAAATTTCCTTCTATTTTTGTGGATGTTCCATTTAAATATTCTTCACATGTGCCCTTGCTTCCTGCCTTTGCTGGGGCGCCCAGCCGGAGGGAGCATTCCCAACTGGGGCTGGATGTTTGTTCAGGGGTGTAATGGAGATTTATTGTAGCCCTCGGACCTAGCAGCCTAATCTGGGAAGGCTTCTTGGAGGAGGAAGAGATGCACAGAGAAAGGTCTCCTGGTGCCTGTTATTGTTGGGCTCGGTGCTGGGTGTTTTGCTTACATGATCTCATTTGATCTCTTCAGCAAGCCTTTTGGGGGATTTGTGTCCTGTTTTCAAGCAGAGAAACAGCCTCAAAGAAGGGAGGGGAAAACTGGCTGGATACATGCCAAGTACATCCTCAGGGAGCCCCTGTGAGGAGGGTCTGGGAGGTTTTCCCTGTCCAGAAAGCAAGCTAGGACTGTGCTGTTTTGAAGTCTGATTGGTAGAAGCATAAAAGGGGTTTGTGCCTTTCCTGGGTTCATACAGCTGGGGAC